GTCTGTTCATATCCTTTGCCCACTTTTTGATGGGGTTGTTTTTTCCTTGTAAATTTGATTGAGTTCTTTATAGGTTCTGGATATTAGCCCTTTGTCAGACGAGTAGATTGCAAAAATTTTCTCCCATTCTGTAGGTTGCCTGTTCACTCTGATGGTAGTTTCTTTTGCTGTGCAGAAGCTCGTTAGTTTAATTAGATCCTGTTTGTCAATTTTGGCTTTTGTTGCCATTGCTTTTGGTGTTTTAGACGTGAAGTCCTTGCCCATGCCTATGTCCTGAATGGTATTACCTAGGTTTTCTTCTAGGGTTTTTATGGTATTAGGTCTAACATTTAAGTCTCTAATCCATCTTGAATTAATTTTCATATAAGGAGTAGGGAAAAGATACAGTTTCAGCTTTCTACTTATTTTTAACTTCATTAACAACAATAGTAACAGAGGGAATGAACAAAGTGCTTTGAGGATCAAATGATTTTTTGTCTTTCCCCTAAATAATTCTAGCTCAAATGACGATGGTTTTACACAATTCCTCATCACAGAGGGTTTCTGTATAGCTTCATTCTCTTAAGGAAAAGAAAGTCTTAAATTCCACAACTTCTGGCCTCAAAGAAATCTATATATAGTTACAGAAATAACGCAATCTCCGAATTGCCCCCTAATTATATCGTGTACACACACACACAAACACATTGGAAAGTTACAAAAATCATAATTAGAGTGTAAGTTACCTATTAGCTTAATATTTGTTCAGTTTCTCCTTCTCCCCTGCTGCTAAAGTTACACACAATTAAAACGCCTGATTTGGCATCATCTTTTTGTGACTTCAGAAGGTAGGGAAGCACTCTGTGCTCCACACACAGCTATGGAATTTTTCTTGGTCTTCTTTTTTCACTTACTTTTAAAAACTTATTTTGCGAAAGCATTCCTATTTCTCCACCTCCTCTCCAGCATCTGTTGTTTCCTGAATTTTTAGTGATCGCCATTCTAACTGGTGTGAGATGGTATCTCATTGTGGTTTTGATTTGCATTTCTCTAAAGACCAGTGATGAGCTTTTTTTCTTGTTTGTTAGCTGCATAAATGTCTTTTGAGAAGTGTCTGTCCATATCCTTTACCCACTTTTTGAGGGTTTTTTTTTTCTTGTAAATTTAAGTTATCTGTAGATTCTGGATATTAGACCTTAGAGAGATTGCAAAAATTTTCTCCCATTGTGTAGGTTGCCTGTTCACTCTGATGGTAGTTTCTTTGGCTGTGCAGAAGCTCTTTGTTTAATTACATCCCACTTGTCAATTTTGGCTTTTGTTGCCATTGCTTTTGGTGTTTTCATCATGAAGTCTTTACCCATGTCTATCTCCTGAATGGTATTGCCTAGGTTTTCTTCTAGGGTTTTTATTGTTTTAGGTCTAACATTGAAGTCTTTAATCTATCTTGAGTTAATTTTTGTATAAGATGTAAGGAAGGGGTCCAGTTTCAGGTTTCTGCATGTGGCTAGCCAATTTTCCCAACACCATATATTAAACATGAAACTGATTTCCCACTGCTTGTTTTTGTCAGGTTTGTCAAAGATCAGATGGTTGTAGATGTGTGGTAGTATTTCTGAGGCCTCTGTTCTGTTCCATTGGTCTATATCTCTGTTTTGGTGCCAGTACTATGCTGTTTTGGTTACTGTAGCCTTGTAGTATAGTTTGAAGTCAGGTAGTGTGATGCCTCCAGCTTTGTCCTTTTTGCTTGGGATTGTCTTGGCTATGCAGGGTCTTTTTTGGTTCCATATGAAATTTAAAGTAGTTTTTTCTAGTTCTGTGAAGAAAGTCAATGGTAGCTTGATGGGGATAGCATGAATCTATAATTTACTTTTGGCAGTGTGGTGTATATACCCAAAGGATTATAAATCATTCTATAAAGACACATGGACACATGTGTTTACTGTGGCACTATTCATAATAGCAAAGACTTGGAACTAACCTAAATGCCCACCAACGGTAGACTGGATAAAGAAAGTGTGGCACATATACAACATGGAATACTATGCAGCCATAGAAAAGGATGAGTTCACATCATTTGCGTGGACATGGATGAAGGTAGAAACCATCATTTTCAGCAAACTAACACAGGAACAGAAAAGCAAACACCACATGTTCTCATTCATAAATGGTAGTTGAACAATAAGAACACATGGACACAACAAGGAGAACATCAAACACCAGGGTCTGTCGGTGGGTTGGGGGACTAGGGGAGGGATAGCATTAGGAGAAATACCTAACACAGATGATGGTTTGATGGCTGCAGGAAACCACCATGGCATGCATATACCTATGTACCAAACCCGCACGTTCTGCACATGTACCCTAGAACTTAAAGCATAATTTAAAAAGAAAAATTTAATTTTGCTTTGGCTTTTGATGTAATTCTACCTAGACAACTATTATACATATAGAGTAACATATACACACATTTCATTTTATAAATTCTCCATTTTATTTTGACTTGGCATTTGACAATATCACTTTGATAGTAGCTTGTGAATATTAGTCAAGATTTGTATAGAGGTTGGGTGCGGTGACTCGCGCCTGTAACCCCAGCACTTTGGGAGGCTGAGTCAGGTGGATCTCTTGAGGTCAGTTGTTCAAGAGCACCCTAGCCAACATGGTGAAACAGCATCTCGCTAAAAATACAAAACTGAAGCCAGGGACAGTGGCTCATGCCTATAATCCCAGCACTTTGGGAGGCCGAGGCAGGTAGGTCACCTGAGGTCAGGAGTTCGAGACCAGCCTGGCCAACATGGTGAAACAGCATCTCTACTTAAAAAAATATATATACAAAAAGTAGCTGGGCGTGGGGCCTGTGCCTGTAATCCCAGCTACTTGGGAGGCTAAGGCAGTAGAATTAGTTGAACGCAGGTGGAAAAGTTTGCAGTGAGCAGAGATTGCACCACTGCACTCCAGCCTGGGAGACAGAGTGAGATTCCATCTCAAAAAACAAAAGAAAATACAAAAATTAGCTGGGCATAGTGGCACATGCCTGTAGTCTCAGCTACTCTTGAGGCTGAGGCAAAAGAATTATTTGACCCAGGAAGCAGAGGTTCCAGTCAGCAGAGATCATGCCACTGCACTATAGTCCGGGTGACAGAGCAAGACTCCATCTCAAAAAATATATATATTTGTATAAATATAACAAAATATTTGCATAGAAAGGACATTGGGTCAGTTGCTTTACTGCATAAATACAGCATTTGAACATACAAATATATCAGTGTAAAAATCGGCAAAGTACAAGAATAAGCAAAGAGTGAGTAAATACAAATATCAAAACAAAAGTTAATATAATACTTTTGTCATTTGAGTAAAACTTCATTCAATAAACATAGAAGGAAGTGGCATTTTCAGCCCATGGATTTATGTTGAGGAAAGTTCTCTAGGTCTTCACAACATGTTTTAGGAGATACATAAGGAACAGAAGCATACTGTAAACGATTGTGGATTACCAGTCTTGACCTCATTACTTTCTCTCCCCCAGATATTAATCACTTAGTATTTGAAGCTGATGTGTCCTGAAGCTGCAGGAAAATGGAGGAAACCAACAACAGCTCTGAAAAGGGGTTTCTTCTCCTGGGATTTTCAGATCAGCCTCAGCTAGAGAGGTTTCTCTTTGTCATCATTTTGTTCTTCTACATCTTGAGCCTTCTGGGGAACACTGCCATCATACTAGTGTCTCGTCTGGACTCCAGACTCCACACTCCGATGTACTTCTTCCTCAGCAACCTCTCGTGTGTGGACATCTGCTTTACCACCAGTGTTGCCCCACAGTTGCTGGTTACCATGAATAAGACAGACAAAACCATGAGCTACGGTGGCTGTGTGGCCCAGCTCTACGTGGCCATGGGCTTGGGCTCGTCTGAGTGCATCCTCTTGGCTGTCATGGCTTATGACCGCTATGCTGCTGTCTGCCGGCCACTGCACTACACAGTCATGATGCACCCGAGACTCTGTGTGTCTCTGACCAGTGTAGCATGGCTCTGCGGCCTCATTACCTCCCTGGTTCAGTGCTCCCTCACTGTGCAGCTGCCTCTCTGTGGTCATCGCAAACTGGATCACATTGTCTGTGAGGTGCCAGTGCTCATCAAACTGGCCTGTGTGGATACGACTTTCAATGAGGCAGAACTCTTTGTGGCCAGTGTAGTCTTTCTAGTAGTCCCGGTGTTACTCATCTTAGTCTCCTATGGCTTTATCACCCAAGCTGTGTTAAGGATACAATCAGCTGCGGGGCGCCAAAAGGCCTTTGGGACCTGTTCCTCTCACCTGGTTGTGGTCATCGTTTTCTATGGGACCATCATATTCATGTACCTTCAACCGGCCAATAGTAGATCCAAAAACCAGGGAAAGTTTGTTTCTCTTTTCTATACCGTAGTCACCCCCCTTTTAAACCCCATTATCTACACTCTGAGAAACAAAGATGTGAAAGGGGCCTTGAGGACCCTGATGCTGGGAAATGCTATTGGACAAAGCCACGGGAACTAGTGAAACACCTGGAATTCAATGAAGTGAAACACGCCAAGGCCGAGTGAGGGTTCATTCTCCCCAGGCATTCCTCTTGTCAATCCCAGGACACTAGGTTCAATCTAGAAAAAAACGGTTGTCCTTTACTCCACCTGCCATCAAGGTTCATGTATCCATTATTTCTATCTAATGTGCCGGCCCATCTGATAAACTTCTAGTGCTTCAAAGCTCAGCTGAAATGTCACCTGCATTCCCTAGCTGTCCTGAAACACCATCCTTCTCATCCTTCTGCAGAATTAAGTGTTTCATATGTTTCCATAGCACTTGATACACACTGCCATTTCTACAGTTACACAGTTTATATAGTTTGTGTGCATCTACATGTGTGTGTGTGTGTATATATATATGTGACTAGGCAAAGCAATGTATATAATGTAGATAACAATGAAAAACAATGAAAAAATATATGACCATTTTCCCAGAATATGTAAGTTTTAACCAGAGAATGTACCATCCCACTCTACTGGCTTATTTACAACATGAGAAACAATAATTATTCAGTGTTGTGATGCTTTGTTTCCACAGAATTGCGGGATGCAAATAATGACTAATATTTTATTAAAAGAATCAAATAAGCAAACTTGCATTAAGGAGACTGATTCATATATTGTTTAAGTTGTTTCCCTTTTAATTGTTTAAAAGTTGAGTAAAAGTGCCATACACTAAAAGGTAAGTGTTTTAACATGTTTATAGAAAATTCATAAAATAAATTATTGTTTCTGGCCTTAAACTCTGGAAAACAAAGTTACTCACATAATTTTATACTTTAAAATTTGAAACATGAATCCCACACACTGTCTCCTGTTAATGATCATAGTTATATGTTTGGTTTTCAAAGCAGCAAAAAATGAAATATTTAGAAGCATTTTAATAAGAACTGTATTCTTATATTTGACCAAACTTTTACTTTGTTTTAATTCTGTCTCTATCTCTGTGTATTTTTGTCTGTCTCAGCCTCTTTCTCTTTCTTTTCCCAAAGAGACTGAACTTCATCAATTTGTCAACTTCAAGTATTTTAAGAGAACTGTGCAATTACAGAAAAAAGTGATTTAATCTGTGGTTGTAATTTTACTTCATATTCTCATTATAAGGGAAAAGAATCATGAAAACATCAGTGCAAATGAAGGGTAAAATGCAGGCAGAATCTGGGGTGGAAGTGGAATTTTCAAGTGATTTAGACTTTTCTTTTTTGGACAGGGTCTTAGTCTGTTGCCCAGGCTGGAGTGAGTGGCTCAGTCATGGCTCACTGCAGCCTCGACCTCCTGAGCTAAAGTGATTCCTCTGCCTCAGCCTTCCAACATTTAGATTTATAATAATTCATCCTTGTGTGAATATTGTGGCCTGCCTACAAATGTTAAGGATGACGTTTGGACCTGCCATAAAGCCTGGATTGAAGGCAAAATGGCTGCACACACAGAACAAAAAGGCATCAGGAGAATTCACTAATAACTCAGGCTGCCTCTTCACAAATACCCTGTCCAACTGGCACCTCTTCAATATACTTTCAGCAAACAAAATGATGAATATCCAACTTAACAAAACAAGAGGGAAGTAAGTCTGGTTAAGTTTGTCTTCTAGGATATTCTTATGTGACTTTCCTCCCTCAGTAATGGAAGGAAGATTTGGGAACTGAGCAGAGCATGCTGAGGAGTGCATGCTTTTATTTACAATATGCAAGTAGAGAAGACGCTGTACAGGAAGCCTCACATGTACAAATGCTTTATTCCTGATAACTTGAGAAACACAGCATCGGGAAGAATGTACCTGTGTCACAGTCTCGATCAACTGAAATAGAATACGGCCCTAGACCAAAGATGTGACATTTAAAGATCCAGCAGCACATCAAAAAGCTTATCCACCATGATCAAGTGGGCTTCATCCCTGGGATGTAAGGCTGGTTCAACATATGCAAATCAATAAACGTAATCCAGCATATCAACGGAACCAAAGACAAAAACCACATGATTATCTCAATAGATGCAGAAAAGGCCTTTGACAAAATTCAACAGCCCTTCATGCTAAAAACGCTCAATAAATTCGGTATTGATGGAACGTATATCAAATTAATAAGAGCTATTTATGACAAACCCACAGCGAATATCATACTGAATGGACAAAAACTGGAAAAATTCCCTTTGAAAACTGGCACAAGACAGGGATGCCCTCTCTCACCACTCCTATTCAACATAGTGTTGGAAGTTCTGGCTAGGGCAATCGGGCAAGAGAAAGAAATCAAGGGTATTCAGTTAGGAAAAGAAGAAGTCAAATTGTCCCTGTTTGCAGATGACATGATTGTATATTTAGAAAACCCCATTATCTCAGCCCAAAATCTCCTTAAGCTGATAAGAAACTTCAGCAGAGTCTCAGGATACAAAATTAATGTGCAAAAATCACAAGCATTCTTATACACCAGTAACAGACAGACAGAGAGCCAAGTCATGAATGAACTTCCATTCACAATTGCTTCAAAGAGAATAAAATACCTAGGAATACAACTTACAAGGGATGTAAAGGACCTCTTCAAGGAGAACTACAAACCACTGCTCAGTGAGATAAAAGAGAACACAAATGAATGGAAGAACATACCATGCTCATGAATAGGAAGAATCAATAATGTGAAAATGGCCATACTGCCCAAGGTAATTTATAGATTCAATGCCATCCCCATCAAGCTGCCAATGAATTTCTTCACAGAACTGGAAAAAACTACTTTAAAGTTCATATGGAACCAAAAAAGACCCCACATTGCCAAGACAATCCTAAGTCAAAAGAACAAAGCTGGAGGCATCATGCTACCTGACTTCAACTATACTACAAGGCTACAGTAACCAAAACAGCATGGTACTGGTACCAAAACAGATATAGACCAATGGAACAGAACAGAGTCCTCAGAAATAATACCACACATCTACAGCCATCTGATCTTTGACAAACCTGACAAAAACAAGAAATGGGGAAAGGATTCCCTATTTAATAAATGGTGCTGGGAAAATTGGCTAGCCATAAGTAGAAAGCTGAAACTGTATCCTTTCCCTACTCCTTATATGAAAATTAACTCAAGATGGATTAGAGACTTAAATGTTAGACCTAATACCATAAAAACCCTAGAAGAAAACCTAGGTAATACCATTCAGGACATAGGCATGGGCAAGGACTTCATGTCTAAAACACCAAAAGCAATGGCAACAAAAGCCAAAATTGACAAACAGGATCTAATTAAACTAAAGAGCTTCTGCACAGCAAAAGAAACTACCATCAGAGTGAACAGGCAACCCACAGAATGGGAGAAAATTTTTGCAATCTACTCATCTGACAAAGGGCTAATATCCAGAACTTACAAAGAACTCAAACAAATTTACAAGAAAAAACCAACCCCATCAAAAAGTGGGCAAAGGATATGAACAGACCCTTCTCAA